CCCACGGGCTCAGGCAATCCACTCACCTCAGCCTCCCAAAGGTGCGGGGTTAGAGGCTGAGCCTCCGAGCCCGGCTAAACAGAGATTTTTAAAGCAAAAATGAGAACAACAATTGTTTTGAGATAAGTATGTATCCTTGGTTAGATCAATAGCCTTGGGACTATCGAGTCAGGAACTTCCTGTGGTTGTTAGGATTCCTGAGGTGATGCTCTCTAAGTCTGTATTTCCTCATTTTTAGAATCTGAAAGCAGGTGAATTTCCCAAGCCTGATTTTCCAGATGACTATAATTTGGGAGACATTTTCCTAGGTGTGGAATATATCTTCGAGCAGTGCAAAGAAAATGAAGATTACAATGACATCCTGACTGTAAGTGGTGATGCTGAAATCACATATCATGACTAATGAAACACAAGCCATGCAAAAGGGTTGAAAATGTGACCCCCTGCATCCACATTGGTGTCCACAGGTTCCGTAGGGTTACTAGGGAAGAACCTATGAGTGGAAAGGGGAGCGCGTAGGGAGAAGTGGGAGAAGCAGTCTGCCTGCTCCAGGCCAGTGTTGGGGAATAGAGAGGACATACACGGTCTGACAGCTAAGTTTGCGAACTCATCCTAGAAGAAGTGCTACATACCTCATTGCTGAATATCACTGTAGTCACCTTCAAAGCACTCCCCTTGGGAAACTAAGCACTGACACCAGCACCTAGTCCACTCGACAAAGCAATTTTGGAACTCTTTTTCTGGAATGGCCATCAGAGCTGTTGTCATATTACCCTTGATATCCTGAGTGTCATCAAAATGTCTTCCTTTCAATATTTCCTTTATCTTCAGGTAAAGAAAAAAGTAATTGGGAGCCAGACCAGGTGAGTAGGGAGGGTATTACCATACAGTTATTTGTTTACTGTCTAAAAACTCCCTTACAGACAGTGCTGTGAGCTGGTGTACTGTTGTGTTGCAAGAGCTCCTTTGGGACCATTTTTGCACATTTTTGCTTATTTTTTTGGACCTTTCTTATGCCAAGATTTTCAGTTAAGATTTTCCTGTTTCTCTATTGATGTTTATTTGATCTGCTATGGTTCTCACGACTGACGATTTTGATGTACAGTTCAATGAATTTTTGCAGTATTTTCATCAGTTCTGCTTGTTACTGGCTGTCCTGACCTCTCTTCATCAGCGATACCTTCCCTCCCCTCAGAAAAATCAGATGGATTGATTTAATCCATCTGTTCACTGCTATTTTCTTCATGGCATTATCCCCATAAACTTGGACTAACATATCCCTGATTTGACTTCCACTCTTGCCAAGTTAAAAGAAATGTTTTTTCATTGCTCTTATTCAAGCTCTGACATTCTTGTGACAGCACACAAAAACATGCAACAACATTAATGAACGACACTCAGCAAGACACCACCACACATCACACGAACACAGCTATGAGACATTGATATACCAAGGCTATCCTTACTTAGTTGTTTGTACAGTGCTGCCAACATAAATACATGGTGGCAAGTTCATGAACTTAATTGCCAGACCACGTACTGTAAAGATACAGAAGCCCCCCAGAAGGAGGCTCCTAAGTTTTCATCTTGAGGTGAGCAGTCTGCTTGAGCTCACACCTGCTGATCAACTTCTTACTGAGCTGCCAAAAGTGGGTAGAGTCGGAGCCTCCAGGACCTTCCACATCTGTTTCTTCTCAACTGACTGGAAGGAAAAACAACAACAACAAAACAAACGAAAAGGCATTTTGAAAGCCATGTGAATGACTGAGTCATGTTTAACGTGCCGGTGGATCCACATGAGTATCTGAGTGTCTTCCTTTGGCAAACAGCCACGCCCTGAGCGGCCCAGCATGGATTCAGCCCTGGGATCTCTGTAGCCAGCAGCTGTGTACCCTGGGAGGTGGGGAGGGAATGTGGACATCTTCCCCATCCCCTGACCTATTCCTATCTGTCCCTGCGTTCCTCAGGCCAGCCCACCACCCCTGCGACCCCATCTTCAAGGGCACAAACCATCTCTGCACACACACAGCCCCTTGGTGATCTTCCTCCTCCCTCCATCCCCACCTCAGGAGACCACTGTCTTCGTACCAGGGACAGGCCTGGAATCCCATACCTGGGGACACCTCTGGCAGGCTGTGGTCTCAGAGCTCACTCCTCCCCGACTGTCCCCTTGGTACTGCTGTACTTGCTCAGGGGAGGGTTCCTACCTGCTGGTTCTCAGCCTCCCCTCCAGCTCTGGACTGGGTCCTGATGTCCCTCCCCTATAGGCTTTAACCAGCCCTGTCACCAGATGTAGATGGGCAACAGTGGGTGGCCTCTGCCTCCATAACCCCCATTCCTACCATCCTCCATGCCCAACCCTTCTCCTGCCTTCTACAGTACAGCTCTACACAGAATCATCAGTAAAATTTGGACTGCTCAAGGCCCCTCCTCTCTATTTTACTCTCATGCCCTCCTTCCCCCCAGCTGGGCCTGGGGTGCAGACTGTGCACTGACTTTCTTCCTTCTTGGCTCAGGGAGACTGGCCGCCTACACCCCTCTCCTCTCGCTCCCCAGCACTTAACTTCTCGCTTGCTACCTCATTCTTTTTCATTGTACACTGCAGTGTTGCTCCTGCCCACTGGGTGGTTCCATCTTCTTTACTCCAGGACAGTGCGGGCCCAAGAAAGCATGCCATGTTTACTGAATGAAGTGGGGGGGGGGGGGGGGGGGGGTCTTCCCATTTCAGACAGGGAACTGAGGCTGAGTACTTTAATTGCTGCCCAGAGGTGTCACAGCAACTTCAGGGCTGACCCAGTGTCCCTGATATGGGACAGCTGGGTTGTCGATGTTCTGCCACTTACAAGATCATCCCATGATTCCACAGGTGTTCTTGAAAGGACACCTTCCTGTTGGATTCTCTCCTGATCCAGTTTTAAAAATTTTCCTGACAGGTGACTGTCACCCATGGACTCTGTCACTTGCTGGGCTTCACACACAGCACGGACACAGAGTGGCAGAAGGTAGGAGCCCATCCTCCTGCCTACTGGGGGGAGGGTGCATCTGGGTGAAGGGGGCAGCAACCAAGGCCTTTAAATGCTCTTTATGAGAAAGACTAACACTGCCCGGTGCAGTAGCTCACGCCTAAAATCCTAGCACTTTGGGAGGCCCAAGGTGAGAGGATTGCCAGAGTCCAGGGCTTCAGGAACAGCCTGGGCAGCTTGGTGAGACCTCATCTCTACAATAAATCAAGAAAAATTATCTGGGCTTGGTCATCTACGCCTGTAGTTCCAGCTACTTGGAAGGCTGAGGCAGAGGGATTGCCTGAGCCCAACAGGTCAAGACTGCAGTGGCCATGAGCAGCATGCCACTGCACTCCAGCCCAGGTGACAGAGCAAGACTCCAACTCAAAAAAAAAAAAGACAAACGTCTGGGCTCCCCATATGCTTTTAGCTGTGTTATTTGTTCAGGAGGGTCTGAGTACACAGACCAAATGCTGTAATTCTACCGAGCATGAGTCATTGGTGCTTGGTTAGAAAACTGAACGTTTAAACCTTTTCAGAGAAGCTGTGGTGATACTCCTTCGTTGGAAACAGGGTTTAGTTCTCGCAGCGTCGGGGTGATCAGTGGTGTGAAGTGTCCTCCCAGGCTACCCTCGGTTACTGAGTTATAGGGGTCTGTGTGCATGTTGTGTTTAGTAAGCGCATGATTCTGTATCTGTAATCACTCAGGCCGTTTCTCTGCGAGTCATGAAAAATCCTTGATGCTGTAGGTCCAGATCTGCCGGGTTTCCTGCCCCGAGCTCCCGGCCCCTCCTGCTAGCCAGTGCATTCGAGGCTCCTCCCGCCGGTCTCGCCCGAACCCTCTTGCTCGCTCAGCCCTCGCCCCCACCGGCCTACCCTCTTGCTTGCCTCGCTCCTACCCACAGACCTCTTGCCCGTCCTGCCCTCGCCAGGGGACCCTTTTGATCGCCCCGCTCCGACCCGCAGACCCTCTACTTGTCCCACCCTTGCCTCTTGCCGCGACCCCACCCGCATCATGCCCGCCCCTTCCCTATCCGCCGGCCCTCTTACTCGCCCTACCTCCCCGCTGCTCTTCCTGCTGGCCCCTCCCCTCCTTCCCCGGGCGCTGGTGCCGGTTGGAGGTGGACAAAACCAGGCTTGGCCCTTCGGCCAGAACTGGAGCAGCGCCACCAGACATCCCCAAGCCCTGTCCCGGATGTGGCCTGCAGAGAGGGCCTTCCAGGGGGACGACGCCGGGCGGTAGGGGTGAGGTTGGGGCCTGGGACCCCTGCCTCAGGCAGGGTCCAGCGCGCTTTGGTGCCCCTCTCTAGATGTTCCGGAAGGAGAAGGAGGTGCTGGACGAGCTGAGCCGACGCACCGGGACCCGGCTCCATCCCTTGAGCAGGGGTCTCTTCTAAGTCGGCAGGTGGCTACAACGTGGGCGGCGAGCCCGGGATATCACTGGGTCTCAGAGGCGCTGCCCTGGCCCGACCGAATTCAGTGGAGGGAACTCGTACAATTTCTTTGTCTACAACATATTAGAATAAATAAAAGGGCTCTGGCCTGAGGTTGGAGCGCCATCGTGTCAGCCCGGCCTCCGCTTTTAGTCTCAATTCTCAGAACCCTGCCTTTGGTGCAGGCACGTTTCTCTCAACTCCGCAACCCGCCCCGAGGGAACGGCCCACACCCCAGCCAGCCCTTGTCTCGCGTCCCTTGGATGGGCTCTTGCAGGCACAGCAATCGGGGGCCCCACCCTCCGCAGCCCCAACCTCACACTTTCACCTGGCACCTTTGCAAGGGTGACGAGGTCTGGCGCCCATCCTGCGATGCAGGATCTGCTTGAGCCCGGCCCTCCAGCCCGCGGGAGCCTCCTGGTACAGACACTGCTGCCACAACGGCCGCAATTCAGGGACCCCTCCACAGAGCCTCAAGGTGACCTGGTGATGTGTACAACCTCTCAGAGACCCTCTTCAGCCCTAAAATTCCGTGCTACTGTGATTCTGATTATTCGTGTCTCTTATTAAACGACTCAGGAACATGAAAATACCTTTGGGAGCCGGGGCAATGTGGCTCACGCCTGTAATCCCAGCAGTTTGGGAGGGGGAGATGAGAGGATTGCCTGAGCCCAGGGGTCCAAGACCTGTCTGGGCAACTTGGCGAGACCTTGTCTCTATAATAAATCAAAAAGTTAGCTAGGTGTGTTGGCGCACACCTGTAGTTCCAGCTACTTGGAAGACTGAGGTGGAAGGATTGCCTGAGCCCAGCAGGTCATGGCTGTGGTGACTATGAACATGTCACTGCACTCAAGTCAGCAACAGAGTGAGACTCCAACTCAAAAAAAAAAAAAAGAAAAGAAAAAACACCTTTGCCACTGGTTTGTCCTGTCTCAGCCTGAACATCCCCCAGCTCTTGGGAACATGGAGCAGGCCTGTCTGTTCCTTGAGTCATTGTTGGCTGTACATGACCTGCTTGTATTTAATGTCAAATACAGCCAAGATCAATAGACATAATCCTATAAACACCCTTGGGTCCACAGAGGTCCTATGAACTGCTGGCCCATGGATGGGATTTTGGAGGCTCCCATTTGCCATTAGAACCAAACCTCAGTTCACGTCCTGGGGCACACTCAGGTTCCCCTTCTGTACAGGCATTAGAGCAGAATTCCTAGGGGGAATCTGGGGGCAGCTTTACTGGGTGATGCTCAAATGCTGCTGAAGTGGATCACTTGCAGCAGCCAGTAGCCAATGACCTTGGGGTCCCCACCCTGACATGGGTATGTCCTAATCCCTTGCTTGGACAGTATCCCTGGTGTGCACTGCAGCCATCCTCTGTCACCCATTATCAGGGAGTCTGGCTATCTCATTTGTGTCATCCTGGCTAAGTGATTTCTTGTATCGTGTCTACTTTTACTGCCCCCCCCCCTTTATTTGGAGAGGTTTTATTTATCATTGGAAAGAATCACATACTTTCATAGAGAATGTGAGCAAGTGTCCTGACCTAAATCTGGAAAAAAGTCTCCCATGGTTCAGTTAGCAGCAGTATCTTCCATCGCCTGGCACTTGGCAGTGTCTTGGCTCTAGTGCATTCATGGGTCACTTCTGCCAATTCCATCCTTTGCCACATTGCCCTGATTCCGGAGCCTCCTGCAAACCTGAGTCTCTTTCTGGGTAGGTCCCCCCTCGCCTGCTCCTGGAGCCACTTAGCCTTTCACTCTTCTGCATATGCTCTAGACTCAGCTCCTTGAGGATCCGGAAGCACAGGGGAATCTTCATTGGCCTTACATTAGACCTACAAATCGGCTGGTGATGAGGCTTCAGTCATGCACCCTGGGTATTTCCCAGTCTGTGGGTCATCATTAATCTCTCTCCATAAGCTTCAGCCATTTCATCAGGTGTGTACAATATGCCCTGAGCCCCCAGCTAACCCACCCCCCCCCCCCCACCATGGGCAAGGAGGCATGTCCATGAGAAGCCCTACTGCCAACTACCAGGCTCCAGGTCCCCAGACCCTAAAACCCTTGCCCAGTAGCCCCAGCCCACTTCCAGGACCTGCTCTGATCTTTTCAGCCTTCCCAAATAGACAGGAGGGAAAGGGGGACCACACACAGGGTGAGTTCACTCCATACCACCCTCAGGTGTGACCCCTTCCCTACCACAGCAAGCCCAGGCCAGGCCAGCCCAATGGTGCCCTGACCCAGACAACTCCTGGATGTCAGGACACATTTTCTTCATCTCTACTAAGCCAGCAAGACCAGACCATCAAAAGAACATCAACTCTTGCTACATTTCTTCCCTGTGTTGAGTGAATAATTATGTTGAGAAATAGAAACAAAGAGAAAAGCCATGTTGGAAAAAATCAGTAGGAAAATAGGAAGTGGGATGGGACCTTTAATTTGAGCTTTTAACAAGAGCACAGAGTCTCTGGCATCACATTCAAGGGTACACAGAAAGGTGGTTCTGAGAGAAGCAGGTGTCACTGCCAGTAGCTCTGTCAGGGTCACACAGCCCTCAGGCCCATCTACCCATGTGGATATCACATGGCTGAACCAGGGAGTTCTGAGGCCAGGTCAGCCTCGAGGAGACACCCTGCAGCTGTGGCAACTCTGATGTCATCTTGTCCCCTGCCCATGAGGCTCTAAAGATAAAACAGGGACAGGGTCCTGCTTCTGAGGAACTCTAGGAATGAAAGAATATGCCCTGAGGGAGTGAATGAAAATTCATACATAGTACTTAAAAATGATATTTAAATACAAATAACATTAAAACAGCAAGGGTGCAGTGGCTTATGCCTGTAATCCCAGTACTTGGAGAGGCCAAGGTGGGAGGATTGCTTGAAGCCAGGAGTTTGAGACCTGCGTAGGCAATATAGCAAGACTATGTCTCTACAAAAAATTTGCCAGGTTTGGTGGCATGTGCCTGTAGTCCAGCCACTGCAGAGGATCAACTGAGCCCAGGTCAAGGCTGCCATGAACCATGATCATGCAACTGCCCTCCAGCCTGGGCAACAGAGACCTGGACTAAAAAAAAAAAAAAGTAAAATGGAGGTGGTGTATCCACATGGTAAGAAGCCCTAGCTAGACCAGGAGGAACAAACTGAACAGAGCACCCTTCTCACAGATTTCCAGGGACAAGAGCAGTGCAAAGCAGCAGATGGATCTGCCCATATTTATAATGCTAGCTTGCTCCTTCTCTTTCTCTTTCTTCAATTCAAAAAGGACTGTACCATACCTGCTTCTTTCACTTTAACATAAGGAGTACATTCAACATGGTTGCAGTCTTCAAATTATTATATTTGACTTTGTTTATGTATTTTCCCATAGGGATGCTTACATTTTTAATGTGGGTAAAGCTATTAATCTTTTCTATTCTGGCTCCTGAGTCAAGTTTTTCTCAAGTTCTTTCTTGATGAAATCTCTGTATCATATTGTCAGGGTCTGCCCTAGACTGCAGAGGTACTTACCTAGTGACCACAGATGGAGACCCTGCTGCTCACCAGCGCAAGAGCTCACACACCTGGATCCTGTGCAGGCAGGACACTGTCACATGCCATCCTGGAGGGAAGGCAGGGTTGTCCCTGTGGTAGCTGCCACCCTGGTCTGGTTTGCTGCTGGGGGTTGAAGTGCAAGGGGTGCCCCAGAGCCTGCCCGCCTCCCTCAGCAGCCACGCTTGTACCCGACACTCCAGGTTCCATACTGTTAACCCAATGAACGACCCAGGGATTGGCATGGGATTCACACTCTCGTGGCCATGTGGTACTGTGACCTGCGACACTCTGGGAGAGGGAGTCTTTCCAGGCACCTTCCTAACCTGCCAAGGGCCTGATCAAGGCTGAGGGTGAGGAGGAACAACCCAGCCCTGGGGTCCTCCTGCCCACTGACCCAGGAGCTGGTTCCCACAACTTACATGCTCAAGTCTGGTGGGAAGGCAGTGGCTGTGACCATTGGGGCCCAAGAGGAGTCAGTTGTGAGCGCATAATGGTGGTGGTGGTGCACAGTGGGCGGCCTTCGTCCTGCTCGCAGGGCCCGCAGGGGTGCATGCTGCAGCCACACAACCTGCTCAGTACTGCACCCACCCTGCCCAGTCTTGCCCACCCTCAGGTACCCGCCCCACTCCCAGCAGGTCCAAGTCTCAGTGCCATGGGTAGGATGGGAGTCTAAGTGTCTCGTGCCCCAATCTGGCTGAACCACAGACCTCAAGCCAGGAGTGCCCTTCCAGAATTACACATGCAGAAACTTCCAGAAGAAACCCCACCCCGGGCCCTCTGCATTCAGTCTGGGGGTGTCCTTGGCTTCGGGCCTGCTCCCTACCTGTGTATCTGTGGCAGGCGGCAGGGCCCGGAGCATCAAGGTCTGTGTTAGCAGCTGGTGCACCTGTGCATTCTGCAGCAGCAGCAACTCCACCATGTCTGCGGGAGGGCTGAGCATCAGTACACCTGACTCCAGGCACCTAGAGCTGAAGCTGCAGTTTCTCTCATGTGTCAGAACGGGTGTCTGGCCTTATATGACCAGAGAACATTCTGGGACGAGAGTCTACACCATGTGGTTCTCAGTATGTTCTGAGACATGCACCCTCTAGGCCAGAGGTATGGATATCTCAATGTGTGGTTGATGTTGCAAAACTGTCCTCTCAAGACACTGTTCCAATTTGCCTTCCTGCTACAATCCCCCTGGGCTGCATGGGACCCTCAGAAAGATATGTCCATGTCTTAATCTCCTAGAACCTCGGAATATGACCTCTTTGGAAAAGTCTTTGCAGATGTCATTAAGGATTGTGAGATGAGGAAATCATCCTGGATTCTCTTAAGTGGGCCCTAAATCCAGTTAAATGTCTATAATAGAGAGGCAGAGGGAGACTTGAGACCAAGGAGAAGACACAGACTCAGGGGAGGAGGCCACATAGAGACAACAGCAGAGACTGGATTTATGTGGCCACAAGCCAAGGGATGCCTAGAGCCACCAGGAGCTGGAAGAGGCAGGAAGGACACTGCTCTGCAGCCTCCAGAGGAAGTGCAGCCCTGCCCATGACTTGACCTTGAACTTCTAGCCTCCAGAACTATGAAAGAATAAATTTTGGTTGTTTTAAACCACCC